TCACCTTTCCCTTCTTCCTGATGGGTGTGGTCACTTCCAGAATGACAATGTCCCCATTCATAGGGCACTAGGGGTCACTGAATGCTTTGGTGAAAATGACATGAATCATATGCTGTGGCCTTCACAGTCACCAGATCTCAACCCAGCTTAACACCCATGGGAAATTTCAGACTGACAAGTTGGACAGCGTTCTCCACCACCATCATGAAAACACCAAATGAGGAGATATTTTATGAAAGAATCATCCCTTCAGTAGAGTTCCAGAGTTTTGAAAAATCAATGACAACGAGTCATCAAGGGGTTTAGATGGTGGCTCAACACCTTTCCAAGATACTTTGTGTCGGTTTATTTGTTTTTGCTTGATAAATGTGGGCAAAGTTTTTTTTTTATTATTGCATAGTAAAATGTTACAAATGAAGAGTTTTTAGGCCTTATATCGAAAACTAAATATGTATTGCTTTGCCATGCGAGACGAACCGTAACAGTGTTTGTCTGCTCTGCCAACAGGTTTGATTAATGTCAGGCAACTAAAACTACCAGGTTAAGAAACTAAAGGTTAGGGAAAGATTGTGGTCGTTTTTAAAAAGAAACCAAAGTGCAGCTGTTGGTAATAGATTGGATGTGTTCTGTGCTCTCCAGTATCAGAGTCATGCCCTTTGTGCCCCCATTCATCTTCCCTGACCTCCTGCTTCAGAAGTTTTGTAGCACTATGACAACATCAAGCTACTTTCAGGGCCCCCAAATCCCAAGGGGCCGATTGGTAGTCCAGCCATGGCTACTTTCACCTTTGCTACAGAGATGAGTCTCTATTTGCATGACCACAAGTTGTTGCTTGTCAGGAAAACTTTGGTCATTTTATGTGTTTGATCAAATAATGAATGCTTTTGTTCTTTCCTGGCCAGGATGAAAAACAATGAATCTTGGTATAAGGCAGCTCATCTTCCTCAATGTCACAGTGATTTACTTTGAAACCATGCACAACACCATCAAAAGAAAACTCACCAGAGCAATATTAGCTTAGTCTAGCCCCATTACGACCAATTAGACAACCCCACGCTGAGTGATAACAGCTTTTGATTACTCCCTGGGAGGAGACTGATGTTATCTGGTTGTTTCGTTGAAGCGGTACGACCTTTAAACACATATTGAAGGGGATCAGTCCCAGCAGAGTCCTTTATCTCTGATGTAGGACACGGTGGTGTCAAAGAACGCCTTGTGATCTCCCTCCGGGGAAGTAGGAGGTATTTTAATGGCTGTCTGACCCGTGGTGGCAATCGCCTGCTGCCATGTCTCCCACAGGGAAACCATTGTGCTGTAGTAGAAAGCAGAAGTTTTGGAGGGTTTTTTTTGCTTGTGGATGCTTAGGTCTGTCTAAACGAAGCTGTCAAGCAACAACCATGACAATGTTTCACCTTGAGGCAGGAGTCCCTAACCACTTGTCAGTCAGCTGCTGTCCTAACACATGTCTGTCATCATGATGAGCAGTCAGCTAGCCTGACACTGGAGTAACCTTTCGCAATACAGCCTCCAGTTTGCAGTGCTGGGAGTATGTGATTCTAATCCAATACACTTTTTGTCAAATTCAGCACTTTGCCTTTAAGTGTTTTTGCATGCTGTTCAACTCTGACAAGTGAATGTACACCTTTGGCAAGCAACCTGCGGTGTATAAAGAACAACAGTCAGACCAATGCAGTTTGACCAGCATGTGCTGAAACACTGTCCAAGAAATTTGTTCTTCATAATGAAGTGTTCCCTAATATTCTTGGGCTTTCGAGTTGTTCAGACATTTTCCCACTCCGCACTTTGGAAGCAGATGAAGTTGTGCCAGAAATCTCTACTCTGCTTCTACAAGCCAGCAGACACTGGTGACCTTTGAAGAGAAGTTCAAATTGAGGAAGCTTATGTAGCAGGTATAGTCTGATACAAATCAGTGTTACACTTATCAACCTTAGTGGTTCTCAAAGTGCTTTACAGAGTTTCCCATGCACACACCAATGGCGACAGAGCTGCAATGCAAGGTGTCTGCCTGCCATCGAGAGCAACTTTACATCTACCACCTGAGTATAGCCACCACAGCGATATGT